TTGGTGTTCCACAAGGGTGGAGGCAGTGGACGAGTGGCATATGAGATGTAGCCATAGAGAGGAGCCCCTGAAAGCACGTCACAGCTTGCCTGAATAGCAGTCACAGGAAGTGTTCACCTTCCTGGTGCCCTCCCTGGAGTGCTTCCAGGGGTTCTAAATGCGAGGCAGGCTCCAATCAGTGTGGACGCTATTTCAAAATAATTCGATGCTATTTCGATGCTGCCTTCTAGTGTGGATGCGCTATTTTGATTTTGTTATTTCTGGAGTTGTTATTTTGATTTTACTTATTTTGAAATTATTTCCTAGTGTAGATATGCCCTAGTGGTCTAGAAATGTCAAAGTTAACATGGCATGTAACTGTTCTAAATGTGAGGTTCTAAATGTGAGGCAGGCTCCAATCAGTGTGGACGCTATTTCAAAATAATTCAATGCTATTTCGATGCTGCTTTCTAGTGTGGATGCGCTATTTTGATTTTGTTATTTCTGGAGTTGTTATTTTGATTTTACTTATTTTGAAATTATTTCCTAGTGCAGATATGCCTCTAGTGGTCTAGAAATGTCAAAGTTAACATGGCATGTAACTGTGGAAATGTAATGTGAAGGCATAACCTAGGAAAGATAAAGACCTAATGGCTAAAAGGAGAAAAAGGAAATAGCAAGATAATGCGGAGAACGTCCATCATCAAACAGCTGGGCCCAGCTGAGAAACAAAAGCTCAGACTGGGAGGCCAGAGGTACTCAGTGGGGATGGCATGTCTTTTTAGCCTGTCTTTTGTCTGTGTACTGATCACATACACATCTTAATCTTGTGCCAAAGTGATGGATGAAACATGAGACTTTAGACAGATAGAAATACTGGTCACGAAAAGACTCCCAATTGCCCTATGGAAATCCCAGCAGAAAATGGTATCAAAATTATTTAAAATCTGTTCTCTGCAGTAAAGACCAATGACATAAATAAAAGCACTTATGTATATTTCCAGTGAAGAATCATTTATCATTTCACATTTTTAGAATAACAGAAATGACTCATCAAGTCATCGCAACTTATTTGGGAAAAAAACTGACTGAACGTTTGATTATCCGGAAATGAAAAATTATTCATGTTGTATAATTTTGAAGAGTAATTGTTAGTTAAGAAATGCAGTCCTCTTTCTTAGATAACTTTATCTGAGTAAAAGAAATGCCATGATAGGGAGACATTACTGAAATTAAATTGTTGCAGTATCAGCTTTTTTATAAATTAATTGTTGTGATCCAAATATTTTACCCCTTTTGAAAAATAAAATTGTACTGGATGGAACGAGGATTTGGACAGATAGATATTTATTGGTGACTGTAGGTAAGGCACATCACCTTCCTGTGTGTCAGTTTCCCCATCTATAAAATGGGAATGATAATGACCTCCTTTGTAAAGAGCTTTGAGATCAACTGAGGCCTGTTAGTTTGACATCTGTAATATGTAAGATCCTGGAAAAAAATTTGAAGGAGAAAGTAGTTAGAGACATTGAGGCTAATGGCAATTGGGACAAATTACAACATGGTTTTACAAAAGGCAGATCATGCCAAACCAACCTGATCTCCTTTTTTGAGAAAGTAACAGATTTTTTAGATAAAGGAAATGCAGTGGATCTAATCTACCTCGACTTTAGTAAGGCATTTGATACAGTACCACATGGGGAATTATTGGTTAAATTGGAAAAGATAGGGATTAATATGAAAGTTGAGAGGTGGATAAGCAACTGGTTAAAGGGGAGACTACAGCGGGTCATACTGAAAGGTGAACTGTCAGGTTGGAGGAAGGTTAATAGCAGAGTTCCTCAGGGATCAGTTTTGGGGCCAATTTTATTTAATCTTTTTATTGCTGATCTTGGCACCAAAAGTGGAAGTGTCCTAATAAAATTTGCAGATGACACAAAGTTGGGAGCTATTGCCAATTCAGAAAAGGATCAGGATATCATACAGGAAGATCTGGATGATCTTGTAAATTGGAGTGATAGCAATAGGATGAAATTTAATAGTGAGAAGTGTAAGGTTATGCATTTAGGGATTAATAACAAGAATTTTAGTTATAAGCTGGGGACACATCAGTTGGAAGTAACGGAGGAAGAGAAGGACCTCGGAGTCCTGGTTGATTATAAAATGACTATGAGCCGCCATTGTGACATGGCCATGAAAAAGGCTAATATGATCTTGGGATGTATTAGGCGAGGTATTTCCAGTAGGGATAAGGATGTGTTAGTGCCATTATACAAGGCATTGGTGAGACCCCATTTGGAATACTGTGTGCAGTTCTGGTCTCCCATGTTTAAGAAGGATGAATTCAAACTGGAACAGGTACAAAGAAGGGCCACTAGGATGATCCGAGGAATGGAAAACCTGTCTTATGAAAGGAGACTCAAGGAGCTTGGCTTGTTTACTTTAACCAAAAGAAGGCTGAGGGGGGACATGATTGCACTTTTTAAATATATTAGAGGGATAAATACCAGGGAGGGAGAGGAATTATTTAAGTTTAATACCAATGTGGACACAAGAACAAATGGATATAAGCTGGCTAGTAGGAAGTTTAGACTTGAGATTAGACGAAGGTTTCTAACCATTAGAGGAGTGAAGTTCTGGAACGGCCTTCCAAGGGAAGTAGTGGGGGCAAAAGATCTATCTGGTTTCAAGATTAAACTAGATGGGTTTATGAAGGGGATGGTTTGATGAGATAACATGATCTTGGTAACTAATTGACCATTCATTATCAGTGGGAAATAGGTCAATGGAGGGATGATAGGAGTTACTATAGAGAACTTTCTGGGTGTCTGGCTGATGAGTCTTGCCCACATGCTCAGGGTTTAGCTGATCGCCATATTTGGGGTCGGGAAGGAATTTTCCTCCAGGGTAGATTGGCAGAGGCCCTGGAGGTTTTTCGCCTTCCTCTGTAGCATGGGGCACAGATCACAGCTAGAGGATTCTCTGCATCTTGGGGTCTTCAAAGTATTTGAAGGCTTCAATATCTGAGATATAGGTGAGAGGATTATTCGTCTACATTGGCCACGGACGCTTTTCCGGAAAAAGGGCTTTTCCGGAAAAGCAGCCTGCCAATGTAGATGCTCCTTTTCCGGAAAAACTGAAAACGGAATAGTATTCTGTTTTAAGCATTTCCGGAAATTAATGCCAGTGTAGACACAGCCTATCAGTGGGAAATAGGTCAATGGAGGGATGATAGGAGTTACTATAGAGAACTTTCTGGGTGTCTGGCTGATGAGTCTTGCCCACATGCTCAGGGGCGAGGGGGGGCTGGAGAGAAGGAGAGGGGGCAAGAAGCAGAGCTGGTGGGGGGGGATGCAGCCACTGGCCGCAGCTGGAATCCAACAGGCTGCGCCCGCGGCAAGCACTCCCTCCAGTTGCTAGTAGAAGCCGGATGGGGGGAGCGTCTGGGAGTCCCAGCCACTGCCCCTGCTCCTGCCCCACCCGGCTTTTGCACGCGACGAGAGGTCTCCCCGCACCAATTGTAGCCCCGCCTCCCAGTCACTCCCCCACCCCTGCCAGGCTTCTGTCCAGCGCCCAGCTGGAAATTCAGAAAATACCAGACATGTATTTTCTGAATGTTTCTACCGGACAGAGAGCACAAATACCAGACTGTCCGGTAGAAAATCGGACAGCTGGCAACCCTAGTATGTAAATACACATCTCTGCTACTTCTCCCCCCAAAACCTCTATTTAGTAGTATGAATGCCTATATAATGAATAGTAATAGCCATACAATGAATATAATTATACCCATCCCTTTTTACTGCACTTTTAGCTTACTCATGCAGTCTTTGCAGCATAAAGTCCCAAAGTCAGCAACTTACAGGGAGGGGAGGGAGAGAAAGAGCCACAACCCTCAACAAATATTATGTATCTGGGAAGGGAAACGGATGGGGGAAGATAATATTACTTTTACACATAAAGTATTCATTAGAAAGTTACAATCCTTATATCACTGCACACTCTTATCTACGCTAACAAACAGGAAGAGAAAGGGTAGCAAACTTTATCAAGCCTAAGAAATAGTTCTGTCTTTGCCATTCTTCCCTATACCAGGTCATTACTTAAACCTTACATACACCAACACTCCCCCACTCTCTTCAAAGAAGGGCCCAGGCGCTCCTTCCCGCGTACTTGCTGGCAGGGCCAGTTAGGCTATGTCTAAACTACATTCCTCTGTCGAAAGAGGAATGTAAATGAGCCTGACTGAAAATGCAAATGAAGCATGGATTTAAAAATCCCGTGCTTCATTTGCATAATCACGAGAGCACTTTTTCGAAAAAGGGTTTTTCGAAAAAGAAACTGCAGTCTAGATGGTGTTCTTTCAAAAAAAACAGCCACCCTTTTGTGAAAGACCCCATACTGCTGAAAAAATGAGTATAGATTCTTTTGAAAAAAAGGTTTTTTTTTTCTAAAGAACCCTATCTAGA